TTCATCACTGTAAAAACCTGGATACTCAAGAACATTAAATTGAATATAGAAGTCCAGAACTTCAGTTATTAAGTACTTTATGAATATTAGTCTCCAAAGGATTCTTGTCTTTCTGTGAGTTAATTTATTCTACAGACACTGGAGAATCTTCAAATATTTGGAGAAAGGAAGTGAAACAATTAAAGTAGCTTTACAGGAAGTTTAGATCCAATCACAACTCACAAAATGAGTAAAGGAAAGGAATGGGGTAAAGTACAAGCATGAAAAAGAATGAAAATCTCATTACAGTAAGTCAGAAAATAAGTGTGCAGTGGTGAATTAATTGGGGGAAAAAAGGAAGATATGGATTTTAATGCACACTTGTGTTTGCAAACCAAGGATGAAGAAGGTATCAAAGAAAAAATAATGCCACTCAACAGAATTTTAGGGAGTTGGGGAAAAAAAATTTATTTTGGAGAGAAATGCAATTATAGATTTCAGTTGGAATTTATTGAATGCAAAAAGACCTCTTGTGTTGTTAGGTAGAATCAAGTTGGAATGGACCTATTCATTGCAGATCCTACAGTGGGTTTTCAGAGACAATAACTCAAATGAGAGAAGGCTGCCCATCTTTCTCCTGTGGAACAGCTGATAGATTCAGGCCACCAGAGCTTCCCCTAAGAAGAGGAATTTATTTAGATGTCATGAAATGGAAATTCCAGAAGAGCTTTGGTTGGCACAATAATTAAAGCATTTGGCCACTAAACAAAATTACCAGCAGGTTCTCAGCAGAAAAAAATAAGACAATCTCCTTCTGTAAAGATTACAACCTTGGAAACACACCAGGCAATTCAACTTTGTCCTGTAAGGTCACTGTGCTATCAACGGGTTTTAGATTCGGGCCCAGTGGATGAACTGTTATTGTTGGGTGCCCTGGAGTCAGCCCTATGGACAACAGAGTGAAAACTTCTCAATCCTGTACCATCTTCACAATCATCCCTGTGCTTTAAGTGTATCATTGCAGTCAGTGTGTCATTCATCTAATTTAAAGTCTTTATCTCCTTTGCTGAAATCAATAGTTCTTAGCTAGAATCAATTTTACCTCATAGTTGACATTTAGTAATGTCACCATGTATTTTGGGTTGTCACAACTGTGAAGATGATGTTACTGGCATCTCATTAGTAAAGACCAAATATGCTGTCCATCAATGCACACAACAGATTTTCTATCTCAAAATGTCAACATAGTAGTTGAAAAATCCCATTCTCATGCATGTCTTAATGCATTGGGGTTATCTTGTTCAACCATTGCATTTAATTTTTATTCATGTTCAATTTATAGAAATAAAACATAATATCTAGCATTCATTGTATTTTATGCTGTTAAAGGGATGTTCTAACAGCATATGACATATTTTAATTTTTAATATCTTATGATAGTTATTATATTTATCATATTTTAACAAGTGACCATACTGATTAACTAAAAATTTAAAATACTTTTCTAAAGCTGAATAACTGGCAAAGTGAAGGACCCAGATTTCCAACGTGATAATCAATTCTCAGAACCATGATTCTCACCACTAAATTGAAGCATTCAGTGACTCTTATACTGTATTTTTAAGCCCAGGACAGACAAGAGAGAGAATTACTCAGAGGAAAAGAACTTTTACCCTTCATTCTTCCCACATGCAAAAAGAAAATAACCTTTTCGAATGCTAGTAATAACTTAGTTCTCTTCTTTAATTTCTGAGTTTCTTCCAGTAGGGAGCTTTTGAGAGAGAGAGAGAGAGAGAGAGAGACAACATGTCTTGAGCACCATTAAAAGCAGCAGTCATAAATTTCAATTGTTTTGAAATATAGATTTGTCCAGATGTATTTCATCTAACTTTTTATGGACAACAATGAAGCAAAGTTTTCCAGTGATAAAATTTGTACAGTGTAAATTAAAACTCAGTCCTTTCAAGGAATCTAGCTATAACTGTAGATCATAGTTTCCATCAAAAATGATCATTTAGATGAGACAAATTTTACAAAGGAAAAGAATACAAAGCCTAGGTACATAATTCCCAATCATAGGAAAGAAGTTCCTAATTGGATGGCCTAGAAAACTAGGAAATTGAAACAAAAATTTAAAAAAAATCCTAAAATAATGATTCTAATTATTTCTTTACAGTGAAAGGGAAAGTTTCAGTTAGATCAAGAAAAAAGTTTCAGAAAGGGTCAAGAACCAAATGTTGTCTACAGAGAGAAATTAAGTATCTCAGAATGCTATATAACATTTGACTCAGGGCAGGGAAACTAAGTTGAACATATAAAATGATGAATGGTATTTAATGAAATGAATCTATGGTTTTAGAACATCACACTTAAGGAAGAATTTAATTAAAATTCCAAGTAGACCTATAACTGCAATTTACTTGCAAGATTGTCAAATGATTCTGGCTGGTCCCATTAATGGGAATCAGGCTTCCCTTCAAAGAAAGAACTCATATATATCAAATTGTCTTTGTGTTTGTTAATTGTGGTTTGAATTTATATTTTAAGATTGTGATTTACTAAGTTAGCAATTTGTTTTTCTTATCCTTGGGAAAAATGTTATGGCCAACTCACTACATCAAAATTTTTATGCCACGAAGCTTATGTTTAGGAAGACTGTCTGTGAACCTTAGTTCTGTAGAACCTTAGTTGTCATATGTGAACATTTCTATGCCTTCTGTTTCCTTCTAACCAAATATGGTAAGAAGCTGCACTGCAATCCCAAAGACACATGGTTTGGATCCACCAGCTGCTCTGTGGGAGAAGGGTAGGCAGTACTGCCTTTGAAAACCCACTGAAGAGGCAGTAAGAGTCCATTCTTACTCCATGGCACACAATAACAGACAGGTAGGAAGCCCTGGTGGCTTAGTGGTAAGAAGCTGCACTGTCATTCCAAAGACACTGTGGTTTGAACCCACGAGTTTGTTTCTGGAAGAAAGATGAACAGTCTTCTCTAATGCAATTTATTTTCTCCAAAAACTCACTTGAAGGGTCAGCTATGGATCAGTTCCTACTCAACGGCACAGAACAACCACCATCACAGCAAATGTTAGTCCAATTATAATGTATCTTTTTATTAATCTTGCTTTCTAGTATGAGAGGGAAAAAAGAAATTAAAGCTGTGGATGGGGGTGGTACTTGTGAATATCACTTTGTTCCAGACAGAACATTGAAAATATACATGCTAAATATTTTGGATTTGATAAGTAGGATGTGGTCAACAAAATAAGCACTTAATTCTTCAAGTTTTATTTTCCAGTTATTCACTTTAAATATAAATTGTACAAACTCTTCCGATTTGATCAATAGAACCAGAGTTTTAGAATCACTTCTTTTTCATTTGGTCAAGATTAGGATACTTAGACCATATTTCTGATCCATTTTGTTTCAAGTATGGTAAGTTTCAAACTCTGAAATAATACATTTATGCTTCAAATGATACACTAGGTAATAAAAATCTCCATAGTAGTTGTGAATGTCAAGAAGACAAACATTCTCACCACTGGACCAATTGGCAGCATCAGGATGGATGGTGAAGAGATTGAGATTGTACACAG